GAGTACATATAAATGTTAAGTCACTATAATTTTTCAAAGAACCCATGAATTGATTTAAAATTTTGCAGGTAGCTCTTTAATGGAAGGAATCTATAATAATAAATTCAACATGCTAGCATTGTTTAAGTATATAGCCTATACATCCTTAAACGAATCGATGCGACTGATAGAATTATTTAAAAGTACTCACGGGTTCCATCGAAACGAGTAGCGATGGTATCTAGAAATGTATTTTGTGGGGCGAGGAGGCCCTTCCTGACCGGCATTGGGGCCGCCCCGCCGCGCTGTCAGGCGCTCGAATCTGCAAAAAAAGAAACCAGTACAATTTCCTTCCGGTTCAAGCCGCACAATATTCTTCGGTTAATTATACGCTCGATATAGATTTCGAACGTGAACGCGCATATTCGGATACGGAAGGTTGGGTTCGTTCGTTACTCCGGCGAGCTGTGCTAAGCGTGCTTGAAGCTTGAAAATGTATGCACGGGGAAAGAGGGTCTAAGTCTTCGATAGGTAGGTCAGTGGTCCAATAAAAAGAAAGGATTGCATGCACCACGGTAATTGCAGTGATAGATGATTACGGCCTAAGCAAAATAGAATGCAACTATTTTTAGATGTGCCTTTCTAATTTAAAGGTGTTACAAAATTCGTCGAAGCTTTCGACGAAACGAAACGATTTTATTTTCGTTTTTTACTCATTACTTTTTCAAGCTGTTGTCTCCTCTCTCATGCGATTCCACTGATTTTTTATGTTTTTAATAAAGGACATATGGAAATGATTTTTTTTTTTCAAACTGCAAAATAACAAGTATTCTTTGTTTGTGTAATTTTACGAGTAGGCGCTGAAACATGCATTTGGTGAAACAGGAGTCTCGTTGTGTAGCGTGGAAGTCGGCGATATTCATAGCTTTTCATTACTGGACAGTTCTATTGTTACTCACGTTCTTCAATGGTATTTGTGATTTCTGGAATTAATCCAACTGTGGTTACAATTTTATTTCATTTGAATTATACTTGGACACGAATTGTTAGTTTCTAATGATTATAACGTAATTGTAAGCGAGGGTCGTTTATTTATATCATTAAAATATCGCGTTACCGTAATATCGGATTAACGCCAGAATATGAACATTTCCAGGATGAACGACATACGATACATTAGATACAAAATTTGTTGCAGGTTCAATCACACGTCGATTATTTTTGGCGACAAGCACTAATATTCGACCGGTTCGACCAAAAGAAATGTGGAACGAGGTTAAACGTCATTGGTAAGTTACATCAATTTATAAATAGAAAATATCTCGATTTACAAGCGACATTAGAAGTACCACTAATGACGAAAGCCTATGAATCGCACACGCGTTTATGTACTTTATTATAATATATACATGTATAAAAAAAATGCCAAAACCAATATATACAAATACGTAATAAAGTAAACGACGAAGGAATAGTGTTCATACTCGATTATTGTGCAGTTTTAAAACGTACATTTTAATTTACGTTTCAGCAGATGCAATTAACTCATATTTCTTTTCTACAAAAGATTTCGTTGAAAGATTGGCGTACAATTTAATTTATATATATATTTTTTTTAAAGAGACCAGAGAACAAAACACTATTCATTTGCAAATCGCGGATGTGTTCATTTCGGTGCTTAAAGTTTACAATCCGCTTATTGTTTATGCGCTTTCTCTATTGTCGACGAAATGAAATCTGTATCACCGTATAGTGATCCGAGCAATGTAACAGGTGCGAGGAGAGGATGGAGTGTAGGATACATTCATTATGTGCTTATCCTCTTGTGTAAAACCCCATTTACTAAACGACCCTTTGGTCACTCTACGTAAAGAAGTTAAGCGTAACATTTTGAGAGAATTGATTCTATTAGATTCTAAAAATATCTCTTTTCAGAGTATACAATATTCGTAATTTATTCCCCATATTTAATCACTATACGTATAAATTGATGTTACATTAAAATTATTGACAACAGCTGCGTTGTACATTGGGTGCGATTAATGCGATTATTCTGTTGCCGAATAATTAATTAATAACATGTGAAAAATATTTCAGCCGAGATAGAGATTACCCTTTATGTTAAATTTTGCTAAGAGGACGTGGAGTAGACGGTGATTTATATAAAGTCACGTTCGCGTAAAACAAGCACCTCTTCATTGTTCTGCATGCAAATTCTTCGGAATTATCAGTAGAACATCGCCGATACAGACCTTATCGAGAAAGAAAGATACAGCTCACTGGCAGGACATGTTAGGCATCGTACCGGGAGCACTACACCTATTTTCGTATCCTGGGCCGTGGATGTTTCACTGAATTTCGCACTGAACACGTCTGAAGTGAATTCGCGTATTCGTCTCGTCACGATGGATTTCGGGGTTTTATCGCGACATCGCCGGTGTAAACGATGGACACGCGGAACGTTCGCTGGTACTCGCGTAACTGACCGAGCCGAGGGGAGAGATTCTCTCTATCCTGATGGCCCGGGCTCCTGGCTGACTTGCGCTCCGCGTACCAAGGCGCAACATGTGGTAAACCGTTGAAGGTATACACGCACACGCAGACGTTTCCGTATACGTGCAAGCTCATACGTGGGTGTATACCGATAAATACACTAATGCAAAACCGTGTAACTCGCACACGCACGCGCGCTGATCGTTCCCAAACGCGTGTGTACCGCGAGCCGTGAAACAGGGTCAAGACTCCAACCGAGGATCAAACATGTTGGTGCACAATTTTCGATAATTATTTTTGGCGATATGGTTGACGGTTTGTCGATCGTTAGACCGTTCAAAAAGAGAAAAGACTGCAGGCTGCCAAAAATGTGCCTGGACTATATGTATAATATATGCACATGTTTTATGGGTTACAATGCCACTGGGAAGAAATTGAATGGTACCGCTTTGATAGTGTTCTTCGCAATAAACAGAAAGTCAAGAGTGATTGATTGCATTAGAATCGATTTCGATTATATAGGCTGACGAGCGAGATTCGACTATGTTTCCCGGGCACGAAAATTTCGGAGAGAAAGTGTGAAAAGGTTTAATCGTTTGATTATATAAAGAAGTATCTAGTTCCGGTCTTTTTCTCTTGTCGTAACGAAAGAAAAAAGTAAAACGTAATATTATTACGCAAAGCCAGCATTTCAACTGGAAACAAGCTTCCATAAAAGATTATTGTAGATGTTAACTCTATATACCGCTTTACGGACAAGACGATACAAAATCCACGACAAACCACTTAAGGGATACTTCAAAGATCCGACGACGCCTTTGAAAACGTTTCGCTTATTTCAGCGAGATTTCTCTTTGACTATTATACATATACGAGTGGCGGCAGGACATATTCTCGCGGTTTTGTTTAGGACGAAAATAAAAAGCTTCGTTAACTCTCGTTTCCGAAAAGATGATATAAACGTGCTGAATACTATCAAACTTTATAGACGTGACACAGTGAACTTTATGAATCCGATGATGTAGAAGGATATTTGATATTCGCATCTGTTCAGCAGATATGCGACGGAATACTGTCACATATATTACTTTTATAAAGAAATTTATTGCTGCTTTGGAGCACTGCGTTCACTGCGGACACGATACATGTGATTTTCCTTCTTAACGCGGTATTGGAAATTTTTGAACGATTTTCCATGCAGCAAAACTTTAAGCTCCTATAAGTAGTGTTAGTGGAAGATAGAATTCATTATTACTTTAGAATCCGTCGCAGTATAAGCAGGATACAGATTAGTGTGTGGAAGAGGATTTCAAGCTGGCGCGGGTAATGTTGATAGAAAGATAATTGCAATGAGATATACGTATTTGCGGTAGATTTAATTTCGTTTTGTACAGGACGCGAGTAGTAATAAGTAGTGAGTACTATAATAAATGAAACACAACCGCGGAATGGGAGCTCGGAAAATTGGTATCGAGGTGGTTTCATGCGCCGTTTCATCCACTTTTTCGTGACTTGATACACGTACATATGTAGACATCTAGCAACCGCGTTTGTATAAATATATACATTGAATGAAACGTTGACTGAGGTCAGTTTCGTAGTATTGTATAATGCAGCCGCACCGAAGGGGGTCGATGACTGTATTCGCGTGTTAGTCCCTCGTGAGCAGTGCATGCAATCTGTAGGCGTTCCCGATATAGATCGTTGCAAAAAAAACTTCACGTCGAGCGTTCGATTCTGCCGCAGAACGGATTTAACGAAGCCACGTGAGCAAGTAGAATTGGCACGCGACATGTCAGACACAACGAGAATCACGGGATTTGGATTAATGAAGAAGGATGCTCCCCCTCTGACCCTTGAAATGGATGTTTACTGTTTAAGACAACCTGTGAAATGCGTACTGCGTCTTATCCTGGAATAAAGGTTCCTTCTTAGCCCCGTTTAGGTACCTCCAATTTATCTCGAGAATTCTTATTATTGGAATTCTCGTACTTTGTACTAAATCATTTCGACCTACACTTAAACGTACTTTTATTCGGGATTGAGTCCATATGCTTTTTACGACGTTCGCGAGGTTTTACCGGGGCGCGAAACGAGTTTCTTTAAGCTTCGTGTATGTAAAAGGCAAATCCGACGCGCCGGCCTATTTTTCAAGCACGAATCAAACAGTCACGCCAATGCGCTGCTGAGAACAGCGGACTGCGCTTAGCCCATAAACATTCGTCGATAACTTCCTATTGTCTAGACAAAATTTGAATATACTTTTAGATAAAGTCCACTTCTACATCGTATATAAATTTCGAAAACGTTTCACCTTACATTGAAAAAGCCCACTCTATTTCTTATGATCGTTTGGGATATGTTTTCTAGATTCAAGAATAAAAGCGATGCCTTTTTGCGAAAGAGATTCCTATAAATCACGCAAACTGCCAGACGCGTTTACTCGTAGATTTTTATGCGGTCGGTGCGTCACGCGTCACAAATGCGAAATCAAAGACGCGAATTTGCAAAAGTTTCTTTACATTGCGCATCATATAGAGTTTGATTCTGAATCAGGAGTATTCTCTTAATCCAGTTAGACGACGAAAAGTAATAAAAACGTAGTTTCACAGATGTGCGATACTGATGGACTTCGAGGAAAGAATTAATCGATAAAAAAATGTCTGTGTTGCACGAAAATTGTCAGTGTCAGTGGGTTATCCGGGCAGCACGGCGTAGGTACAGACGGTGCGGCGCGTGGCCACGAAGCACGGTCCATATAATCGATACTCCACTACTTCGAGTACCTGACTCTGTAGAGAGGGACGACGAAAAGGAGACGGATTGAGATGAAAAAAGAGGCAGGAAGGTTCTGAGCCGAGGGTACCTGCCGCACTTTTCCCTCGAGTTTTGTGAAAGCTTCTTCCTTTCTTTCCCTGAGGGATGTGAGAATAATAAAAAGTTGTTCGCACAAACCATGGCAAGATTAACGGGACCGTTCCTCCGCGTTTTACTTTTCACTCTTTTTTCTCATTCCCCTTACTTTACCCAAGAAAAATACGCAATTCACCCGTCTCGTTTCTCAGAACTCACAGTCTTCGGCAAAGAAATTTATTTAATTTCTCTGCACGATAAGTTCGCACAAAATACTTATTTCAAACAGTGAATGCATCGTGTCCTCCGGCTTGCACTTCTGGGTCGCAAAGAAATTGCTCTGAGGTTAAAGCTCTTCAAAGACTGAAGGAGTTATTACATCTTTGTGCAAATAGCACGGTATTCGCGGACAAGAATTCTCTATGTATATAGGATAGCTGCGACATTCATAATTTTTAATAATTCTCGGTTAAAGTATTATTCCAGAACGTCGAACAAAATCATCAATATCTAGATTACCCTGTTCCATTGGTTTTAAGCAAAAAAAATTAACTGGAATCTCTATTAACGAGAATTCTTTTTATGAGATTAAATTGACATCCCAGTGTCTGTAGTATCGGCGAACGAGGTTGTCAAAATAGTCGCCGGCCCTAAGGCGATTACCTAGCGACAGTTTAACATCTGTAATTCTGTATTAGATACCGGTCGGCCCGGTTAATCTGTATTCCCCAGTGGTGCCAGGTGTGACGACCGGACGATATAATGACGTAAACTGCTGCCGCATTGCCGATGTCGTGCCTGCCGTAACTACGGTACGCGAGGTACACGTACCCTCGTGCACCCACGTCGACCTCTGACTCTCTCAAGGGGTAGACGACTTATCGACCTAGTACATACTAGGTAGGCCTCAGGCCTACCACCTTTATCTCATCATTGTGTCTAATACACGATAAATCGATCGTACGATTTTCTTTTCGCAAACCTAAATCGTGGGTCTCTCAAATCTAGGTACCCTTAGGAGCTTAAACAATTCAATGGTAACGTTCGATCGATAGAATGCTCCTTTCCGCGAACACGTTCTTATCGTACGCAAGTTTTGGTAATTAGATATCGATTAATTCTATTGATAAAAAAATGAAAAAACTACTACGTCATTTTTAAATCGAATTATACTAAATCTCTTAATCGTAACATACGATTGGATTGATCCTTCTTCTCGCGACATTAAAATAGTTTTTTAATTATTTGAAATGCATCCGCGAAAAAAAGCAAATTTTAATTATGTAATGGCCAAGCCTATCGATACGGGAACAAAGGTGAAAAACAGAAAAAGACCGAGAATTCAGAAAGATTTGTAATGTGTATTCTACTCTTTAGTCTGCGTCCCCAAGAGAGACAGAAGAGGCAGTACCTTCACAGTGTTTGATGAGAGGCCCTTGTCCTTCTAGGTCGTCTTTTAGAGTGTTTGCGAATCAGGCCGCGACCCCGTCGCCGTCGTCGCGAACCAGGCTAGTGGTAGTGCGGTTGCAGGGGGTTGCGCCGGGAAAAGTGGAACATTGCATTCGTGAGGATCGTCGACTGTCTCGCTCTCGTAGCGGGGCCATCAATAGAAATAATACGAGGAACTATGCAATGTAGCTCTCGTACATAGGTAGACGCGAGTGTAACGACCTTACACCTTTTACCCCCGCAGGTGGCGCGAGATCGATGGGCTCCCGGCTCGGTGCAACCTCTCATTCGCAAACTTGTGCCGAATGCTTCCCACTAGCGTTGGCTTGTTCCACTTTTCTATCGCGTTTTACTAACACGGTGCAGCGCACCATTTTCATCCGTACAGCTTGCAAGCATCGCCATGACGATAAACGAACTCGAGTATGCTGTTTTCATCCGAAATGGTTCTGTCGTCGCGGTAGACAATGCTCGATGCAGGCGGAGATAGTTGAATCGTTTATATTCAGATTCTTAGCTTAGAATTACTATAATTCAGGGGTTAATGAAAAGACTGAAACGGTTATAATCGTTTAAAATATATTGTATACGCGCCATAATCGCTGAATTAAATTTCATGATCGTAAATAGAATTAGTCTATAAATAATACCGAAAAGTTTTACTTTTCTATTCCCTTTTTCGCATGGAATATTATGCTATTATTGCGTATATAATGATATGGCCAACGTTTCTCTAAAACAGAAAGTGCGCTCTGCGCTCCAGAACGGAGATACATTTCGTAATCGTAACACACATTACATTATCGTGATTATTAGAAAGATGCACTCATCGGCAGCATCCTACGTGTAAACAAGCGTACAATAATCTATAAAATGTGTGTAAAAATTCATTTTTTAAGAATGCTTCTGTATAAAATAGAACGTGCACTATTTTATTTCATTTTGAAAATTTCTCCATGAGAAGTTTTACGAAATGTGACTTCCTTTTCAGTTCCTACGAAAGACAGTTAAAACGTTAAATAGATCGCATGAGAAATTTTAAAGAGATTCTTATCTGTGTCTAATGCATTATAAATATAACAAACAATAAGCCCTTGCAAAACAATATAGACGATTTCAACTTATACTAAAAAATTGGTTTCTCTCATAGAATCACCGATAATAGTACGAATAGAATAGTAATAGTACGAACGTAATTAATAAATTCATCGATTCATGATCATTTTATGATCGCATGCGTTTACCGCTTAATTAACTCCCTTTCCATACTCATTAATCACAAAGAAATTATCACATAATTATAAGTAAATTTCCAAATTTTCTTTCGTGTTTTAAATAACTTCACGAGCAATTTCTAAATAGTAATTTTCCTAGAATAATCAATAAATGAATTATCTGAAGGCATGCAATTTCCAAAATAAATTATCATATACAAAATGCCTTGACTGGATGAGCTATCAAATCTACATATCGAGATCGAATATTAAATCATTCTTAAACTCTGCTTTAATCACGTCGTTTACATTCTCCACTGGGCTACCCGAACGAATTTCGTTCGCGATTTCTCCCTCGACACTAGACTCCCTTTCTGGGAAGGAACGATTATGATTCGATTCTTTTCTGATTTCGATATTGGCAGTTTTCTGTTGTACCACTTGTTTATCCTTATTAAGTATAGGTTTTACAGTTTCTGAGGCTTCGGTAGCCTTTTGATTCGTTTTAAACTTATCACGTTCATCCGTTTCAGAATTCTCGCTTTCGCTCATTCTACGTTCGTGAGCACGCCTTTTGTTTCGCAGTTTACGTTGATTTTTTTTACGTTGCCCAAGAATACTGGAATTAGATCTGAAATGAAACGAAATGAATCGGTTAATAAAGATAATAGCGCAAATTTAAATAGATACTACAGAGCATCATAAATTCCAGTAATACCTAAACAATTGTCGGGACACCACGTCGTTGAATCTTACTGTTTTCTTTAAACTAGAACAATCTGATTCAAAATTTAGATCTTGTGTCGAATCGTAATGATCTACAGACGAGGCAGCCAACCCGTTCTCATCGGCACTCGATTCGGACACTGAACGGGAGAAATTGTGAGTGCGCCGCGACTTTAAGATACCTTTCGAGTATGTAGCCGAGGATGCGCTATTACTTGACGTTAACTCGTCTCCGCTGCTTTCAGAAACAGATCTAGTCTTTGACATAGTGCGACAGAGATTTAATTGTTCTTCCATCGACCCCGTGCTGTGCCGTTCGGCTTCGTCGTCTGAATCCAAATGATTCGGAGTAACATTTATTACAACTCCGTCGTCTTCAGCTTGTACACTGACCCTATGGTCTGTTTCGTAATTGGTACCTTCCTGAGCCTGTAAAAACAAAACGAATTGAAATGGATAGAAAATGATTTTTATATACTATAGTAATTTATAACACTGACTACTAATTCTTTAAGTTGATTCTTGAAAGAGACGGCAGTAGGGAATTCTTTCTCTTCCATGAACTCTTCGTCGATACCAACGCAGTATCGCGTTAATTTCTCTGCATTCTTCAACGTAATGTTAAATACAACATTATTATCCCACGGTTCGATTGTGAGCGGAGAGGGAACTACGGAATTTTCGCCTATCTTTAAACATAACGAATAATGCTGCGGAAAAAATCCTGCACCTATAGATGTTATTAAAAAGTGCACGCCTAAATTGTTTTGCAAAATTTTATGACGAATGGAATTAGGATCAGCGTTCTTCACATTCACGGTAATCGCTAATTGATTATTATATATATTACAGATGAAAGTCGGCAGTAAATACTTAATGCTAGGATCTAAAAATTCGTTTATATTTTCTGCGTTAGTCCGTAGTGCTGTATCACCGATATCTTCTGAATCCACATGTTTATCCTCTAGTTTTGTGGTAGCGAGCACTGTTTCACATTCTTCAACCAATTTTGACGTAGTTTCACTATCTTCTTGGTTTGGATTAAGAGAATCATCCACTGACAATGGCACAGGACTACCATGATCACTGTCAACTCCACTATCCTCTCTGGTATCAGATAAGGATGGCATTGATCTGATAACCGGTAGTGTGACAACGAGCTTTGTCTTTTTCGGGTCGAACTTCGCATTACCTCTGTCTGCATCCACGCAGTAAGGCAGAGGAAGCTCTAATAAATATTTAGCAGGCTTTTCACTTTTAATACTTAAAAAAGATTCTTGTACATCTAAGGAAGCGTCGGTGGCAGTTTTCAGTAGGGGTAGGTCTATAGTAATAATTAATCTTTTAGGTACTGTCGCATTCATTTTTGCATTTCTACTAGTACTAAAGTCTTCCAGCTCCACATCGGACTGATGCTTTATGGAAAATTTTGGTGTAACATATTTGCTTTTTGTATCTTCATTCTTATCTATTTTCTCTTTATAATATGTAGTAGGTGGCGAGGGACGCTTCGGCATCTGCTCCATGTGGTTGAATTGCTGTTTCCTGTTCTCATCATAGCTGGCCATCAGCTTCTGGTAGATCTCTGGCTCTATGTCAAGCTTCTTTTTTGGTGGCTCCTTGGATGGCTTTCTGATCACAGTAGGATGGCATATTCCTTTGTAATTTATCTTTGGAAACTTAAGATTCTTCCTGTCTAGTTTGACCTAACAAAATAAAAAAGATATGAATAGAATATGATTCCGCTTCAGTGCAATCTCACATCGATACTCACATCAAAATTATTTTCTATGCTGTCCATTGCTGTATTGTTCACGATTTCGCGAAATCGCGAGTTTTTCGACGCTAGGTAAATAGTGTCTGGATGGAAGACCACGTCGAAGACCTTGCATCGTACATTTTTTTTATCAAGATCATCGCGAGGTGGTATCAGTGTGTAAGGAATAGACCATTGGAGACCTCGATGTCCTTGTTCGAAAGAGGGTTGACTGCTAGGTCGGGCCACGACGTCACTCTTGCTAATGTTTAAAAAACATTTCCTATCTCCATTCACGCTAGTTTTTATGACGTAACCAGGCTCTGGATTTACGAATGTTACGTCGACGCCCCGTTCCTTCTCTAACTGTGTAATCTCCTGCTCGTAGATCTTTCTGTTCTCGGGATCAGTCACCTCTTCAGCGTATTCGATCAACAATTTGCGAAACTCCTCCTTCTTTAGACACTCGTTTAGATTCTTCAATTCTTCCTTGGTCACCTCTAAATTCTCCCAACTTTGTCGTCGTCTATCGTACGCGTCCATCTTATGAAATGATGTTTACAAATAAACTTGAAGATAGAATGATCGCGAAGCACTGGTACCACGTGGATGGTTGCGCCACTACGCCGGCCGGTGAAATAGCGGTTGAAGACGGAACTTGATACTGTCTAATGGCGTTCGCGCCATGCTATTCTATTTGTTTCCAACATTTTTACAAAAATTTAGAGATCTACGACAATGTATTATTTCATTCTTACTCACAAAAAATAAATTGTTCTGTACGTATTAATTATCGTGTCGAGTTTTTGGATTTTTCTTCCTTCTTCCTCTTCTCCTCATCCTTCATCTTCTATTTTCTTGAAACCGTGCGCCGATATCTTCATTTTTTCTTCTACTTCTTTATAAACTATCGCCACAGTATACTGTGCTATTGCTCCACGTAACGGTGAACTGAAATAGTGAAAGGAGAGAGTAGACACGAATTGCAAAAGCAAAATTAAAAAACAGAACCCCAGAATTAGAATCAAAGTCGAAATCAGAATCAGCATCAGAATCGAAGTCGAAATCGAAATCCTAATCAGAACCCAAATTAAAATTAGAACTAGAATCATAATCAAAATTAAAGTCGAAATCGAAACCACAATCCGAATTAAAATCGGAATCCAAATTAAGTGGTAGAGCACATACGAGTGCAACAGTCAAGCACCCAACGGCGATGGTCGACAAGCAAAGAACTTCCGGAGAACGAGCACCGGGCTCACCAGGCTGAGATGCAGTTAACCGGAAATGCGAGATCATTAGCTAGCGCTCTTCCGGTCCTAATTGACATGTTCGCTTCTCCTTGATTTATGGGTAACCATGAATGATTGTTCGGGTGATTCTAAAAGGGGTGAGCACTGACCTATAGTACCCACCCCTAGGATTGGACATTCGATCATCTGATCAAGGATCGCGAAATAAAAATTCTAAGATTCATGTCTATTCATTTATTAACCAGAATTTGGCCATTTCCATTAATCGTCCTTAGTTACTCGGGTGATTTTAAAGTGAGTGACCACTGACTTATAGTAGCCACCCCCAGGATTGGTTATTTGGTCATCTGGTCAAGAATCGTGAAATAAAAATACAAAGATTCGTTTTCATTCATTTATTAATCAGAATTTAGCCATTTTTACAACATATGATTAGTATATAAAATATATTTTATATAGCTCAATGCATCTAATGAAATTATGTAATGCTGCTGCATTATAATTAGTTCGAACGATTCGTGCATGCGATAGGAGACGAGTTCTCAAAGTAAAGTAGTTTGGACAATTTCATTCTTTGCCATTTTCAAAGAGTTCCTGTCATCGACAGTGACATGTTTATTCCTCGGATCATTCGTTTTTTCGGAGTTCGCCTGCATTCCGTAACCATTTCAATATTCCAGTAACAAATCGTCAAGCATCAAGAGTTGCACAATCATACCCTATCCTCTACGAATGCAGTCGTACAGCTGTATTCTATGATTTCCCAGAACATATATCGCACCATATCTAATGGTAAGAGAATAAAATATATCTGTGATGACACGAGATCACGAAATGGACCATAGGATAATAGCCTAACGTGTGTGTGCATATATCTGTGGCATCGATACTCGATTCCATCAAGGGAAGCTCGCTGTCGTCATAGGATAATAATTTATTGCTGTTACCTTTATCATACACAACCATCGACTCTACAGGAAGACCGATAACAAAAGCGCGTAAAGATCGACCCGATTCCAAAAATAGATACGTTGTGTCGGGTTATCAGCGTAAAATCGAACTCCGGCAATGAACGATATGTAACAGGTCAGAGTAATTCGTCAGGTCGGCCTCTTCACGCGAACCAAGATGCGCTCGCATAAGTGGGTCAGAGGTTGCAGAACAGGAGTGGTTAGGGCAGGGCAACCCACGCGATCGCTTTTCCTTCTTTACCTGCATTTGGCGGTCGCGGAGTTCCGCAAGGGTGCCTGGTACGCTCCTATTCCGACAACCCCCCGTAACTATTTCTTACCGCCTTCGCTCGCAGAGTTCGATCATGAAACCCGCTAATGCGATATTTTAAATTCGACGAATTTACTTTCTAAATTAATTTTGATATCTTGGAATAAAAGCTTTGGTCGCACAGAGAGTGAAAATAATTCGGAAAATTTAGACTTGATACATGGCATGCATGACCTTCGGGTACATCTTGAATGGACGTTCTTCTCACCTGCTTGACCTAACGTTTAGGGATCTAGTAATGTGACGTGTAATTATAGCTCGAGGAGGACACAGTCATGCGATCTTATCCAATCCGGGCCGAATAGTTTGGGGTGGTTTAAAACGCTTTCAGGGCGCACGCTTACGGAATTCTAGATTCGGAACACATGCTTCGTGTTCGTTGTCGATCACGTTCAGTTGGAGTTTTGGTTTCGTCTTGTCGATTACCTCTTACCTTGGGCTTGAAAGCTCAAATTTTCATTTGCTCGTGGTATGTCTCAGAATATCGTGTGGTGACATCGTTGTACAGTTTAGTTAGATTCGAAGCAGCAATTGTTCAATAGATCGAATTTCTTTACGCTGAATCAGACAAAGTGATGTCGATGAAACGTCAAAGATTCAACAGGTATCGAAGGAAATTTAAGTAGAAATTATAGTTGACATAGTTTTTTTTTATTAGAATTAGACGTCTGTATTTTTTAAAGTACTGTTCGGTAATCATTACCGAATTCTGCCAGCTGATCCAGGATAAAACAACGACCTTTCCGGGCCCGTCATTCCTCCAGCAAACTCTACTGCAATGAAGCGAAATTAAAGATCGACGAAGTGCATCGGTGCAGAAAAATCGTCAGATTTGCAATTGCGTCACATGAAAACGAACGATGAGGCGCCGTCGGACCTGGTGCCGGCCAGCACGGATAAAGCGCACAAGGATGAAGACAGCGTCAAGGATGAAACTGCCGAGTCCAATGAAAAGTCTGCCACGTACAACAACAGCAATGCAATAGAAATAAAAATAGTTCAAGGTGCGACGCACCATCCTACTCTCTTAATCTATGCACCCGCTGGTTAGTATTTTAATGGCGATTACGTTGCACAGAGAAAATTGAACCATGCTTAGAGCTTCCACCGACGCTTCATGAACGATTTATGAGAATCAAACAAATGGTTAAGGATGCCATAGCCGCGCACCATACGTTTATGATATATGGAAGAGCTCGAGTGGTTCGCGAATGCATGCTAAGAAGAGGATGGTGCGAAAAGTTTTTCAGAAAAAATACCAGTGGTACTCTAATCGTTTCGTAGGAATAGCTTCGCATTAGTCGTAGCCTTATGCGAATCATACTTTTCAGCCGACCAGCATTTTAACGTGGAAGCAAGTCCTGTAGTTTTATTGGCCGGTATCGGAGATTTGAAGGATCAACAAAGCGAGAGGCAATTGATCTCTAGAATGCTTACAAATCATACCGTCGACTTTCTCTGGAACACCGGGTCCGAATGGCCCGGTTGGCCATCACAGGACAACAAGGCCACGATCTTTAACAGATATTGCAGAGCAGGATTCACCTCGAAGGTACCTGAAGTGGCCTTGACTGATATTCTTTAGTCGTGCGAAACACACATTGAACCAGGATAATATATGCTTCTAAGAAAATCGATTGCCTTAGGTGGGCTTATGTTCGAACGTTAAACAAATGCACTGGTACTACGAGGCTGGAGTAGCGAACACCCTTTTCCCGCGTTGCTATAATCTCTGCCAGGGCGATCAGATGCACGCCTTCATCGAAGATTTTCGGTGAATTATTCGTGAAAGATCTTCGACTTATTTTCTAACAGTCGGGTCGTCATCTTTTTTTATTTTTTCGTTAGATTCACAGCTTGCTTAAGCTTGTTGAAATGGTTGGTTAACAAGATCGGCAGCGAAGGCGAAAACGCTGTTCGATCACCGACTGGCACGGTGCCTCTGAAGGCGTTAGAGTTCGCAATTAAACGATGCAGCGACTATATCAGTGCTCAGTCGCACGAGGATATCGACCAGGAAGTGGAAAGGGTTTGGGCGCATCAGTGGGATCAATTTATCAGCTGGTACTATCAGATCGTTCATGGTCAAGCTCTCTTTGTTCGGAACAATGTCCCGTTCCAAGTAAGCAAAATTCGACCGCGTGTTGAATTGCTGATAAGTATAGTCATCGAAACTATATTAATTTAGCATGGTGTGAATAGAAATTCTTTCTCGCGTCGAAACATATCTTAAAGAAGATGAAGAAGTATTGGCCTCAACTTGATATGGACGGTGTAATGAACGTGTGGATCATGAAACCGGGAAATAAAAGTCGCGGTCGAGGGATCGTACTTTTGAACAAGTTAGAAGACGTAATGGCGAAAATGAATCCATCGAACAAATCTGACACTCGTTATGTCGTACAAAAATACATTGGTAATCGATGCATTTGTTTTAGAATATCAATTAGTAGAATAGTAAAGATAAAGGAACTGTGAGCATTAATTCTTTATTATAGAACGACCATTGCTGATACACAGTACTAAATTCGACATCAGACAGTGGTTCATTATCACTTGCGCTCAGCCCCTTACGCTTTGGATATACAAGTAAATTGGCAATTGTAATTACCATATATTCTAATTTGAATAAGTAGGCACAGGAATGCGTAAGTTAAACAATTTCTGTTCCGTGGCACGATATCGTGCTCGGAAGTATCTGGGTCGTCTAATTATCGTTCGCAAGACTAAATAGTTTGCTATCGGAAAACGTGATTCGTTTTATCCTGTATTTAGAATTACAACTAGCTAACTCGTTACTTTCGAACAAACCTCGATCAATTACCAGTTATGATTTTACCTTCTCCCACCGACGAAATTGATCCTTCATAACCCAGTTTGCGTAAATGCCTGTCCTATTATTGTATTCGTCGTGGTATTTCTGGCATGCGATACACGTACGCAACACGATGCATTAAAAGAGGATGTAGCATTGCGGTATCGTATTCCAGAGAGAGTTATCTGCGGTTCTGCTCCCAAAAGTTCAGCTTGACGGACTTCCACGAATCTATTCATCTGTGCAACCATGCGATTCAGTGCAAATACACGAATTGCGGCGATAGAGATCCCGCGTTACCATCGGACAACATGTGGGACGCGACGACTTTCAAGGAGTATCTCAAGTATGATGCACTTTCGATCGTGTCGCGTCGCCGGATCAAAATTTGCGACTTAAACGGAACGCCAACAGGTCCCAAGGGCACGATAAAGCGTGGGACGAGATCATTTATCCGGGAATGAAGCAAGGTCTTGTCGGTTCTCTATTGGCTAGCCAAGAAGCTATGGATCGTCGCAAAAATAGTTTCGAGCTATACGGGGCTGATTTCATGGTCATGGACGATTTTTCTGTTTGGTTAATCGAAATTAATAGTCATCCCGACATGAGTTACTCGAGCAGAGTCACGACACGGCTTTGTAGGCAAGTCCTAGAAGACACCATAAAAGGTGCTTGAAGCTTTAAGCTTAGTTTTATCAGCGATCAGCTTGCTTATTTCTCATCTATTGAATTTTCAAAGTGGTCGTAGATTACCGGGAAGAGAAAGACGCGGACACGGGACAATTCGAGTTGGCTTATAAGCAAAGAATGCCTAGTTGCCAACCATATTTAGGCGCGGCACTCTCGCTTCAAGGGACTAAAATAACCACTTGTGGGAAGAAGCCCACATTAAACAATCAAGATTCGAAAGTTAGCCTTGTTTCGAAATCCCCTATGGTTGGTACCGGAGGGAAAAAATAGAATTTTTTTCAACCATTACAAATAATAATTATCATCGAATTACGCTATATGCGACATTGTTAACTAGCTGTCTTTAGAAGTAGATGCTCGAAATGAAACTGTTTCCTGGCAATCGATTTGCGAGGATTACAGAATTAGTACTCGCCAATCTTTAAACGTGATACTAATCACTGAATAAAAATATTCATAGACGTGTCTAATGAAGAAGAAATCGACTATGCACAATCCAATTGGTCCGGTGATCGTCGATTTGATCGAGGAGTTAGAAATACAGCTCGATCAAGAATTTTACGCTTATTACAAAGTAGATTCGCCTAAACTGAGACAGATATTGCCTACTAGTGCGCCTTCGAAACCTTTGAAGCCTGTTGTTTTGATCGATAAGCAAGAATCGACCGTGAAAAGTGCACCTGTGGGCGGCACAGTTGCTAATCCGAAAACGAAATCTCCGACGTCAGTTCAGGCATGTATAGTAATCGTACAACTTAATTACGTTTTTTAATTAAGAAATAGCTTCAACTAAGAAAATAATTACCAGGAGAGGATCGGTAGTAATCAGAAGCATGTAGTACGTATGTCGAGAAAACCGAACACTTATAATGCGACGAGTAACAATAAAATAGAATCATCACCCCCGAGACAGATGTTGGTCTCCAAGATTATGGCTATTCAGAAACAATCCACGAAGATGGTCCCGAAACCTGAGAAACCTTCCAAGCAAAATGATGATAAGGTGTCGATCGATTTACAACCGATTCTCTGCACAATTCCTTATCGCATTTAATTGCATTCTATTTTTCTCAAATATATTAGATGATTAAGACGGCAGTACGCGATGCCATTAAAAAGTATAAAAAGAATGCTAGCCTGTCCGCCAGTATTCCGTTGGAAACGTCCACGTTGCCGTCTCTTGTAACAGTAACCAACACAGGATCTAGTCAAGCAGCCACAGGAAAAAATAAGCACCGTAACGTTCCGAAAAAGTATACTCGCCAAAAAAATAACAAGGTTTTGTCGGACATTACCGACATGTATGCTGTCGGTTTGAGATTAACCAAATAATTATAAAAAGTTTTCGTAATCTGCACTCATGTCTTGCTACTTCCGACACTGTTCATCCGCTCTTTAAACTCTATACATTCTGTTATTATATATATATATGTATGTATGTAATTCAACTGTACTTATACACGATCAATAAAAAAACAATCGTTGAAACCCTTTGATCTTTTAATTCTTCGTGTACAATAGTAAAACAAAACCCAATCGAGTTCATTCAATCAGAAAATCATGGTCTGACGTACGCATTTAAACACATCACCTTAATGGGATTTTAGAGAAAAATATCAAAATTACAAGTGAAACCGTGCCCATACAAATGGCGGGCGATCGTTCTCCAAAACTCGTTCCTTAATTTTGTTTAATGATAGACTGCGAAAAGATTAAACGGTACACATTCTTTCTGTCCATACTTGTCACGTGGAATGGACTGCGTCGATTCATCCTGGAATTCTGGAAAGCGTGCGTCCACGGAGGAAATCCCAGATAACCGTGGCCGGCCCAATTATGCTCTTCTCAATAAAGATAACTTCCAATGCACATTCTTTCGACAGCCTAAATCTAAGTTCGTGGTACGATGCCGTGCAAAGGTTAATCTGTCGCCCTTTCTTAATTAAGATCCCATTTAATTTTCCCCCGATAGACCAAAAATGTCGCACCATGGCCAACCCCCGAAAATTCAATAGTGTACAACCTGTCCGATACGTGTACCGATACAGAAAGCGAATATGACGAACCTGTTAATGTAACAGCAACGTGTCTACAAACCGATGCGGGCCAGGATCAAATCCTCCAGACTGACGGAGGTGCAGCGCGTTCGCCAAGAGTAACATTCGATCAAACAGTGCACGTTCACTTGAGTAAAATCACAAAACCCTGTTTGAACAAACGACCGGTAAAAAGACAAGTCCATGATGATGTCACGAAAGTTGCATGCAAAAAGAGAAATAATTCGGGTCAGAGAATTGATCGAAATTGTAGGCTGCAACCCGTGAGGTTTAACATGCCGCGGTTTCCAAAAAAATCTGAGAGTCCGAGTCCGATATTGAAGGATAGAATATTTTTTAAGGAACGTGTAGAGAACCATAGAAATATGCATCCAGGTAAAATTTGAGAAGAATATTTATATTAGCTTTTAACCCTTCCAAGTGAGATTGAATGTTGTCCGTTTACTTCGTAAGATGTGAAAAGTATTCTTCGTGGAATAAAGAGACCGTGTGAACCAGTGAATTCCATACGAAACGATGAGAACGCTAATAAGAGACGGAAGATGATCCAGTTGAGAATCTCGAAGAACAAACAACTGTTGAAGTCTATGAAAGATGTGATTCAGGAAATAGAAGGAGATGAACCTCCGTTTCAATTGGGCTTATCATCTCTTTTAAATATCAAACCAGCGAGCAAGACTGCAGAGGTCAATATCACGAAAGTAGAGGAAAACGAAGAGGAAGAACGGAAACCAAAGAAAATCGCTTTGAAACGCGCGGCTGAGCCAGAGATGCGAAAACCAGCTTTTAAGAAACCCGAATTGGAAACGTTGCTAAATAAATCTATGCAGAAAGCAATGGAAAAGTACAAAAGATGCAGAATTACGTGGGACGTCTTAAAGAAAGGAAAATCCATAAACATCTGAGGAGAATACTTTTTTATCAGATTTGAACATAGAACAATATCGAAACACATTTATCGATTGTCAAAATTATCAGTGCACGGTGTCACTTTTTCCTTAAATAAAAAGTCTGTAACAAAAATTAAAATGTGGAAATACTGAAATGAAATAAAAAATGTCAAAAAATGTAAATTCGTTGTCAATGAGAAAATGTTCACCATGCGACAACCGGAGGACTGTATAGTGCTCTTGGATCGCAAGGAAAACATAAATGAAAATGAAGAGCTAATTACAGATTCTAACCATGGATTCTACAATATACGTGAGGATTTTAAACGATCGAAGAGCGAGGAGTGCCTGTCGGGAAGCGCGGTCGACACAAAAACAATTTACACGCCCAAATGGCAAATAATGTTAACATCCGCGGATTGTAAGATTAAGGAACACTGTCTAGGTTGGCAGGTACGAAAGAATTGAATTTAAACCAAAGCAACCGAATTTCCACGAGCAAAAGAAGTATTATTTCGCTGCATTTTCCGTAAGATATATTCGAAAGACTCAAAGGAAACCAAAGAGGAGTCACAGTTAATTATAAGATTTTCCGAACCGCTCATGATCACCAACGTAGAACCAGTACAAACCGCGAACGTTGAGATCCTTTGCAATCGCGATGATCTCGACGAGTTACTCGAAGAGGATGAAAAGGAGAACGAGAACACTTATGGCAGGATCATCCTCAGGGAATACTTAAGATTACTAACTAACAAGGAAGCGAAGATCAATTTCATCCTGAAAGTTCTGCAAAAGGCAGTGAATGAACATAAAATTTTTGTAATTTACGGCACTTTTCCGGTGCTAAGAAAGCCTCTAGGAAGGAGAGGCTGGATAGAGAAAAGATTTATTAGAAAAATGCTTTCGATGTCGCCGGAAATCTCCGAAGGTAACTGATAAAAGGCGCGTCCCATTTTCAACGAAATTATTCATGTTTCCCGTTCTCCCTTCAGCTGGTTTGGAAACCATCGAGAAATTATTGCGACATCCTGCAAACTTTATATGGTACACTAATAAAAGAGTGGCCGTCAGAACAGACGAGAGAACCGTAATTAATAAATTCACTGGATGCTATTTCACATCAAAGGTTGCCTAAGTGATTTCTTAGACTATATTATTTCCTGATGACGAGTCTACGTAGAAATAATTTTAGGTCGATATGTGCAATAATTTAGAAAATATTTCTTGGTTTTACGAAGATGGTGTGTCAAACATACAATTTCCACGATGCTACAATGTTTATCAGGTACTGTATGTACCTTTTTTTGCATCGTGGACAATAATCAAACGATTTTACACGTATAGACTTCACAAATAGACGAATTCGTACAAGATTTTTACATCACAGCGTCAATGGGACTTCTCAAGTGGTTTTTATTCGTAGCTAGTGTCGCTGGATCAAACGCTGTTTGGTCCCCAAACGGCACTGTCCCCATAAGAGCATTTTTGTTTGCCCTCGAGCGATGCGCGGAATATATAAGGTTCTAGAAATACAGCATTAAGACAAAACACCTCGAAAATGTTTCTATATTTATTTAAAATAAATTCTAGTATCTGTTCTCATGAAGATATTGACGGCCAAATATATAAAGACGTAACTATTTCTGATTGGAATGAATTTCTGTCGTGGTACGAACAAATTTTGCAAAGACGTGAAGTGTTAGAGAAAAAGGAAGGAATACAGATTGAAGTGCGTTATAATTATAAGAGCAGAAAGTTATTGATTCCTTATTGAGCATTCTTTGTTAGGAGCTTTTGCGATTTGCCGCTAAGACTGTGCAAGAAATGGCACAATATCGGCCTCAAAGTCGGATTGATGGTATGCGAAATGTCTGGATACTCAAACCAGGCGACAAAAGTTTGGGTAGAGGTATAATTCTTAAGGATACGTTGCACGACATTCTAAATAAGATACATCAGGCTACTAAAGAATGTATGCAATATGTCGTGCAGAAATATATAGGTGAACCTTCGTTCATTCATAGTCACAAGGCGTTAAATATAGATTGATTAAGGTGGTTGATTATTTTTAGAACGGCCTCTGCTCGTTCATAAAACGAAAGTTGACGTTAGACAATGGTTTTTAATAACCAGCACACAACCTCTTATAGTTTGGATGTACAGGTATCGATCTCTCACGATCTATAACTCATCTCTCTCTGTTCTGGTCCTCATTTTGCTTGATATTTCTTCACTGAAAAATTTCATTAGGGATGTTCTTATTCGTTTCGCGTCAAGAGATTTTACTCTTGATAACTTCCACGAATCGATCCACTTGTGCAACACAACCGTACAAATGAAGTATAGGAAAACATTAAGACAGAACGCGCAAATACCTAGTGAACTTCACTGGAATCTTCAAAAATTCAAGGAATATCTAAGGTATGGATTTATAACTACTTTTAAAGTGAACCGCGGGCGATGAATTTGATACTTGATTTCTTAGAGCTACCGACCGAGAATTGGCATGGGAGAGACTCATTAAGCCAGGTATAAAGCAAAATTTAATTGGCGCACTTCTGGCGTCCCAAGAAAATATGGTCAATCGGAAAAATAGCTTTCAATTGTACGGTGCTGATTTTTTAATAATGGATGACTTATCTGTATGGTTAATTGAAATCAATACGAATCCGCGATTGCATCCTCCGAGTAGTTCTGTCACAGATAAACTTTATCCAGAAGTAATAGAGGATACTATAAAAGGTGATCATTAATAACAGTTAATTGATCAAAATTAAATAAAAATCAAACGAGTTGATTTTTTTAAAGTGGTCTTAGATCGACGTAAAAACAAGAAAACTATTCGCGGAAAATTCGAATGCATCTTTAAACAACGCAATCCATTTTACGGAAACGTATTAGGTAAAGGGGTGAGCCTTGGGATTCGTGGTAAAGCCATACAACCATCGTCACATTCGCCTCAGCGAAAATCGTGAGAGATAAAATATAAGGTATATGTTTATGAGGAAGATGGAATAGTAAAAGGAAAAAAGAAATAAAGCGACGAAACTTAATAAAAACGTGTTTATTTTTACAAATAACAATGTTGTAGATATACAGTCCTATATGAACAGATATTTCCACGGTATGTTAATACATATTTATATATGATTCCATTCAAGACGTACTTGTTCATGGTTGCATTCATACGTAATTACACGTACAAAATGATCTACACAATATGTCTTTTCGTTATCGGTATTATCATTTACTGTAATTTTGATTAGGAAAAAAACATGTTTATCATGCCTTCTGATGATAGTACGAATTCTCTAACACTTTAGGCACGTGGACAAATCACGACGTTCTCGGTTTAATGTACTAAAAAAAATCTAATTCTCCGTCTAATGTCTCGAAATTGCTTTGCATATTATGTGTTACAGATGTACAACAGATATACTCTCGTAGAAAATTTGTTTATCCACTTGTGTTGCTTAATTACAAAATACTATTTGGTCGTGTTAATAATAAGACCGTCTGAAAATGACCAACTGTCGTTGGAATTTAGAACGTGAATATTTTAAATGATTCTCATTTCGTTAGTATATCTAACTGAAATAAAATTATTTTCTGTATAATACAATTATAGTGAAACGATATCATATAAACTGCATTTGCAGTCTGTAGAACAATTCTAACTAAGCTAGACTGCACTTTTGTCAAATGGAACAAGCAAACCTGTACAGAATATTGTTGCCGTATCATTGGTATGTAAAAAATTCAGAGGATATACATAAATAAATAATGATTTTCCTACTAGTTTTCTGCATCAACTAAGAATGCTTGCTTGTGTTGACATCGGCGCAGTCTCAAACAGGTAACAACCTATCTGTATTAGGCTTCGAAATCTGGCAGGTATAGAATTAATTACTTAATTTTGACGCACGATACGTTCATCAGAATTAAATGAAATAATTCAACGTCACCGGATTTCGAATATTTATCGCGTTTCGAGTGAGCTTTGGATCTTGTCGCTGCATAGTTTATGTACATACATGTATGCGCAACATTATGACATGTTCTTCCGGAATATGAACCATTCCAGAGCCAAGATGTATAAATATCACATGTAAAACTGCACGAAATGTGACAAACTCACGTAACTGGTTTTAGCGTAAAGGACAATTTAGGCCTCGAGTTGTTCTTTCCGAGGATTTTCTTTTGCTCCTCTTTAACACGCTTCTCATGTTCCTTCCTCATTCTCTGCCTCTCCTCCTCGATCAAACGTTGTTGTTCGACCATGGCCAACCTTTCCTCAGCCTAGAGAACGACGTTTATTTGAATCTATGGTACCGTCTCTACAGCCATCCATGAACCTACCAATTTCTTCTGGGCTTCTTCTATTTTTCTGTTGTTCTCCTCCATGATCCTCTCTAGTTCCTCACGCTTCTTCCGCTCTTCCTCCTACAACGACAATGGGATCTATTTACACGAAGTAATGATGGTATCGCTCACCAGCTGTTGTTACACCGTACATATCCAAAAAATCATAGTGCCGCTATGTCAACAGCCTAGTGTTATACATCCTAAGAGAGAACCATATTTTTTTTAAAATATGGGAAAGATAGAAGTTGGGAATAATTGTGAACTTTCGAGGTCGGGCATCAAAGAATTAGGATGGCTTGTCGAGATAAAAGTAATAGAGGACGTATGTCAACCAAGTTGCTTCATTTGGATTAAACCTCCTTTTAGTTCCCAGCGAATGCTGATTATTGTTTGATTCCCCAGATGGAAATACGACGACTTAGGATGCCACTTGAAAGTGAAAAAAACGTGAATTATGATTCTGAATCAATCCACTGTGCATGCAAAAGGGTATATAACGAATTCGAAATTTGTCCTCAACTTTTAAACGCGAGATCTCGAGAATAAACTCTGCTTAAGTGCAAGATAAACTCTAAATGCAAACGGTGTAAAAGTATTATGTCAAAGAAAATGAAAAAACACTGGAGAGTACTTCCTTTTACAGAAAATACATAAGAGTTGTTCACGGATCATTGATAATAGTTGACGATGTGCATTTCAAAAAAAGGAATGGAAAACGAATTAAAAAATATTTACGAACGAGTGGTGCCATCCGCCCCGACCTGTCGACGGAATGCGTTGTGTCCCAGGTACTAATATTTAGCAAATCTAAAATAATCCCTAACATTTTCTTTGAGATACATAGTGTTTGAAACAAAGAATAGTAATAATATTGGTATAAAATGAATTATGAATATATAAATTGGATAATACCTGAATGATGCACACGCCAGCACGTAGGGGATGCCTTCTTCATCGACAATCACTCAGCAGTGAGTAAAAAACCGGCATCTTCTGTTGGTAGTCAGTAAGGAAGGTGACCTATATATCGCTAGGTCGTGCTTTGTTGCTATGGGATTCTAATTCTGCCCTTTAAGATCTACTTCTCCCTTTCTAATTAATTTTCTCCCAAACTTGTTCACGTATTCAGTGCAAACTCAATGTGCAAAGCAATAAGGATAAAAGTAATTTAAAAAATCTGTAATCAGGGTCGCTGTCCATTTGACCGGGACGTGCCGATTTTCCGGAGAGTGATAATAAATAAGGTGCACATAGATAAAAATCATGGTAGAAGAAACTCCTACTCGTATTTAAAAAGTAAAATAAAATATTTAAAAAACAAATATTGATCATAAATGTTACTTCTTAAGCATTGTCGACCATTGCCAATTAGATCAAATAACAGGACCCCTCTTTTTATAAAAGATGGAATATCGGTTATAATAAATTAGTTGAAGCTGTTATTGGAATGTAGAACGCAAAGTTACGGGATATAGAATAAATGTTTATTACTATTATTATTATTATTATTGCTATTAATGTACGTGAATCTATTTTTCATTCCTGTCATTAGCTTTCAAAAATATTTTACCGAATATGGATTAGTTTGATATTTTCAGTCCCCAAATTTCAAAGCAACATCATACAATGTTATTAATTTTTGTAGTGTTCCTAAATAATTGTGCAATTATTGAAAGAAAAAATAGTATATTCTTGTGTAAAAAAAGGTATCTAGCGAAGGACATCTGACTCGTAATCTTTATTATTACAAATATAGAAATTTATTTTCATAATATCGTCTAAATAAAGTTAAAAAAAGTGTAATTCTTTTTCTTAACGATATAATTTGCCAAGATTCTCATGAAGAGTTCGTCAATTTTGAAAATCTACTCTTTCACTGACAGCCAAAACTGTTCAAGGAAAAATATCACTGTCCTATAGTTTTATAAAAGAATAACTTTATTTAAAGCTCACTTCTTGTTTTGCAACTGCTTAGTAAATTACAAAGTTTGGGATCACTAACTTTAAATAATTGGATGCTTGTTTCTCTACTCTTTAAAAGAGTGAACGAATATGTGGACATTCGTATACGCGGATATATTATAACTAGATTGATAAGTATTTAGGTCTGCTGGATTATCAGGTACGACGATTGTAAAAATTGCGAACAAGAACGCGGTATATGCATTCGAACGCAATTTGTTCAATACGGTAAGTACGACTGACAATCGAAATATTGTGTGATGAAAGGCATTAATGTGTTGTACAAATATGTAAATATATACATGGTAGAAATACAATATTCTGTTCATAAATAATCGATACATGCGCCTATAACAGCAAAATTCTTTCCACAAAAGAAAGTACACATTCCCAACAACGCGACCTCAGTGGATGTTGGGAAATCGAAGCAATGTGGCTTTTAATAATACTTTTCTTCGTGTTTATCAACCACAATGCTTCAAGCCCAAACGCTGTGATCGCGAAATAGAGGCTTATATAGCTACAGTTATAAGTGTTAGTTTTGATCACAGTCATGTCCAACTAGTACCATTTATATAATTCACCAAAATGTCCAATTACTTCTGTCTACTTTTTTATGCTGATATATGCAAATGTTACAGTATCTTTCTAAACTTTCTTAAAAGTTTTAAAAATATAAATTAAAGTGTATCTTATCAGTCAATCTATTAAACCATAAAATACACTTTTCTCTTATATGTTCGATTTTGATTATGGTTCTGATTCATTAAAAATAGACTCATCTAAATATAAAAATAATTCGAGTATCGAACACCAGACTTATTTCCTGTTGATCGAAACAGCGCTTGGGCTAACACTGGCCAATGTTTCTCTGGATTGGTCTTACCTCTCTTCGTTTCTCCTCCTCCCGAAGTTTCGCTTGTCTCCATTCCATTTCCTCCATCATTTGGCGCTCCATAGCCCTTTTAGCTTCTTCTACTCTCCTTTGTACTTCGGCTTCTATTTCCTCCTTACGTTTTTCTAATTCTTCCTCCACCCTCTTCTGCACTAGTTCTTCTATTCGCTTAGCAGCTTCTTCTTCAACCATTTTTTGTTCAACTTCACGTTGCCTTCTGCAAGCACAGAGATATTTTGTTGCTCTAATGCTACAGGAGTAGCACGAAATCTTTTCATATCCTAGGATGTTCCTTTTTTACAGAATATATTTTGAGAATTCATGAACACAACAATTCTAGAGAGTTTTTAGCATTTATATCCGAAATATATAATTTATTCCTAATCTGAACTTCCTATGCATATACTTCTTGTGAGATTTTGAAATATCACTCACTGAATTATAAAATAATATTCATATAGCTATAAGTATACGTAGATAAATCTAGAATAGTTAATTAAACCATCACCAGGAGATAGTTATACAATCTTACCCAACTGCACTTGCGGTGAAGATTTTGTTCGATAATTCTTTCTTTTTCCTGACAACATAATTATAAATAAAAAAAAAAGGTATACCAATAATACAATCATAATATAAAAGATCAGCTTTGTATAAATAATATAAATTAAAAAAGAAAGGACATGTCAATATTTTCAAATGGATTCTACTTTATTATAGCAGTAAAGAAAAATCATTCAAAATCAAATATAATACAAAATGTTTATACCATTAGAATATCATGAAAAGCATGAAGATACTTTTAGAAAGATAGAGGATATCACATATAAACTTCATCAATCTTTAAACAAACTTAGTCAATGAAAGGGAAACCTAGTTAGCTTGTCTCATCAATTAATTACCTTTGACGTTCCATTTCTGCCAGTCTTTCTACTTCATCCATTTTACGATCCCTATCTCTGTATGAACGTTTTTTGTGACTCACAATGTGCACATCATCAGAAGCATCTGTAGCTGAACTAGATGATGCAGAATGTGATCGTTTTCTGCAAGGACAAAATAGTGTCTAATTGTAAAATGCTGCATCAAATAACATAATTGAAGTTAAATAATAGCTGAATGTACTGCACTCTTTATTAGTAGAGAATTGCTAACAGCGCAAAACATATACGTAAAACACTATATAAAGATGGATGTATATAACTAGATTCTCATAGAAATCAAAGACTTTAAACACATTTGCTATTAAATGAGTTTAAAAATGGCGGAAGACTTGCTAGAACGAAACTATCTCTATAAGCATCAACATTATGTTAAATATATTACCTTGACTTTGAACTACGTTCTTTTGGTTTGTCAGAATACTTGTTATTCGAGTGTTTCTCACGCGACTTTGAGCGTTTCCTCGAATGCTTACTCTTATGACGCCGCCTACAACTAGGAGATTTTGTCCTGGATCTAGAGCGGCCCATTTTAACGAACTCTATTGTCCTTTTGAAAGAATCACTAGCAAAATTAGGAAATACACTAAACACTTAGAATCTAACTGCACATAAAAATAACCGAGCACTATGCGAACATCACAATACAATTATAAACCAAGCACTGTTACCGTGTTACTGTACGTACTGCACCACTGACTTATGCAGCTTTAGCAGCCATCTTTTTTAGTTAGTACTCAAGATGGCGCATGTGATCGAAGACTGTTCACCGCAGTCTCTTTTTTAACAAAATTTTTGAAAAATGTAGGTACGTCATAAAAATATTCTTTTTATTTAATTAAATGATTCCTTTTAATTGAACTTTACGATAACATTTGCAATTTCCAGCAGTTGTCAGCCGTCAATCAAATTAGAATCACTAAAATTGTGTAATTTGCCATTTTTCTATTATCATTTCTCATGATGTACACAGAACAAATTCAGACAACTTTGAAATATAGGAACCGAAATGTGCAAAATAATTGCGTTGTGTATGTAAACATTTCGAAACACACAACGGCTACAGACGACGGCCGGTATTCAGAGTCGTTGCTTATTCTTACGATCGTCCTAAGCATTTGCTATTCCTATCTATCCCACGTTCCCAGTTACTGTCTTGTACAGGAAACAAAGATTTAAGTAAATGCTTGAGGCAATCTTAAATATAAGTAACTAAGTAACGATTCTGAACTCTATATACCGGCCTATAGGTATTTATCTCGTTTGTGATTTAAAAGGCCGCGGTTTTTGTTGGGTACTGACACCCATTCATAGCTGTGTCGGCGTCGTGCGCATCTCATTCGATTCGTTCCGCGACATCAGAAATCAAGATGGCGCCTCTCTGTTTGCGGATAGTTCTGCGACGGATATAAATACGTTTAAAAAAACAGTGCGAGGAACGGTTACGGTGTAGCGGTCAGTTCTAGGCGATTGTTGTACACGTGTCTCATAGTGACAGTCGATCATTAACACGTCGCGATAACTGTTGAAGCGCCGGTAGCCGGGTAGAGCCGCTTGCGGGTTATTTCGAACGTCGGCGAAGGTGCTATCGGTGCCCACCTGAGGAATGCCAGATTATCCTCGCCACGGCAGCTCGCTTGGCAGGGGTATGATAATCGCGTGACAGATCGCGTGCAGACCAATTGAAAGTGTTTTGTAAAGTGGCGGTCCACGGAAAGGTGTCCACGGTCGTGTTTGTTCCGTGACGTATGTGTGTCGCGGAGGGCTGTAAGACAGGTCGGTCGCGAGTGTCGTCGTCGTCGTCACCGTCGCCGCCGCGGTCGTCGCTATCGTCGTCGTCGTCGTCGTGGTCAGGCTCGTCGTGTTCCTGCTTAGTGTGCCGCGAGTGGCCTTTTTCGCGGCTTCGATGTGCTCTCGTCCTCCCCTGGATTTCTGGACAGGCGAGATCAGCTGCTGCTGGAACAACTAGTCCAGCGGCATCGGGAGACGATCATTTGCAGAAGCGGTGGGTCAAGGAGGTGCCGGACTTAGTCGCGAGCCCGGAAGCATAACGAAGAAGATGGCCTTCAACGAGGTACATTTCTTCGTTACGCATTGTTATATCTGCTATCTAGCTATCCCGTTCGGTCGTTCGGTAGTTCGATCCCGTGGGCTGACCTCGCGACCCCCAAACGCCAATTCTAACCTAACCTCCGTTCCTGCGCACAGCTGGCATGTTATCAACTCTCCCCTCTCCCTTGCATCTCTTCGTTCTCATCGTCTCTTTCTCTGTCGTTCCGATGAAACCGCGTTTTATCTACCCTCGTTATTCTCGTGACCGCGAGACAGGTCGAAATCGGAACAATCCGGTTATCCTTCGGTAATATTGGGATACGCGATTCTTTCAATTTTACTTATACTTTTTTTCCTCTTTACCGATTACTACACTTCAGTTAAGAAATTTTATCTCGTGCGATAATTTGTTATCACCTTTATCTTGAAATACTTCCGTGGTCAGTGAGGAATCTGGATCTATTGTCGTTCCTCGAGGTCGTTACACATGTCTGTGTAACCAGCATGCGCACGTACATTACGCACTTAAACTCCTGTAATTGTGGGTACTCTTTCTTTTAATCGGGATTATATTCGCAAGAGTACTTCGGGAGAAAGATTCAAGGAACAATACCGTGTAATAATTACGCCATGTTAGTTAAGTTATGTATTCGATTTGCATGATGCGCAATATTTGAGGTTTTCATGCTTCATGCGAAGAAATAATGTCACATGTCGTGTCTCGAAAAATTATACTTTCAGAATGATTTGGTAAACAATTACATCATAGTAAAGTGACGTGAGAAAGAGAGATCAAACATCTCGTGTCTACTTGTACTCCATGATCATCGCTGATTGTCTGTTTCTCCGTAACGATATTGTGTAACCATATCCTATAAAGAGACGCAGGATATCGTGTTTCCAGTAGAAAAATAAAAAATGTTCCGATGTACCCGATTCAGGTGTAATACGATACACTAGAATGGATATGCATTTACTTACACTTCTAAGTTGCTACCGTGCAACGCGAAATCGTTAAGCGAAAAACCTTTGCATTAAGTAAGTAGTGCGACGATGCGATAAAAAAAAACATGTTATGCATATGGGGTGCTATCTATCCAATACTCTTAAATTATACTGGTACAATTTAAGGTTTGAGATAATCTTTTACTGACTTCTTATCATCGGTGACGCATACACCGCGAGCTCGGTTGCAATCGTGCCTATTTATTTCCATTGACTGTTCAACGAACAAAAAGAGCGCTGCCCGGTAATTAATACAGTACGATCGAATTTCATCGATGCGTAGTCATATCGTATGATATGAACCTAGGAAAATATATACTGTGCGATATTTTTGTTTTGTCACGTTTATTTGATACATCTGTGCATTTCTCTGTCCTGAACTTTTTTGCCACGATAATTGAAAGAAAACTTGAAATCGAATAACAAGGGATTTAGAGTTGTACCGCTGTTAGTGTAGCATCTCTTAAAAGGAAACACGAGGAGAGAGAGAGCAGTTTGTTTATTTTGCTCCTGGCACTGAAGCGCATGACTATGACACGACGTACCGTGTGTACGTGTAGATCATTCATCGTTTCACGCGTGTCCTTTAAACGAGAAATTAATAAAGGAAGCATCAGTATCTGACATTAATCTTCCTATACTATGATACGTGTATTATTTGTTACGTGTTCTTACTATTCAGCTTTCAACCTTTATTTTCATCTTTGCACTGTAGCAGATCTTTATCCTGTGCCAAAAAGTACAATATATCTTACGTATTGAATAAGAATATTTTGTTCATCTTTTCGTTTATTTTAACTTAAATCGTTGTAGAGAATTAACATTGCAACTGTAACGGATTGTATGAATGGATATGAATTAGAGCGTGAAAAATCAACTTTACAAAAAAGGAGGTAAAAGTGACAACCTTTACGAACGGAGGCACCTGCTACCCGGTCATATCGATCGAAATGAAATATATACAAGTGGCCAGGGTGGGATTCCACCGTCGTCGTCCCTTCTATGGCACCTACTCGTTCGTTGACGATCGTATGGCCTCCTCCCATATCCAGTGTTCGTGTTTTTTTTATGCTTTTACGATAATTTACATATCCGTCTGTCCTTAAACCGTTCGTACATACAAATTGTTCAATTCTCGGTTCTTTGTTTCACGATTCGCGAATGTCTTATAGAATTCTGAGATTTTGTTAGTTGTTCACTTGTCCATTTTTTCACGAACATAGTCAAGCCATTTTTTTTCAAATTCTTCAAATAAGACACAACGAAAGCAAGGGTCGGTGATTGTTGAAACAACTCACCGAAGCTTCTGGTATCTTTATATGATTGACATAGTTATCCGACCTGAAAGTCAAACATGCCGACGATTTACATTCCTTGCGAAACCGACCAATACTCTAAGAAAAATGGGCCACAAGTTTACAAGAAAATCCTATTTGCAGTAACTACTCTGGGTGGTTTAGAATTATGAAAACGAGAAACCCGTTGCTCGTGGAACGATAGTACCGTACGCACATATACATGCATATTGCAAGCCTGTTATCGACTTCGTTATTCTTATCGTATTCCGGAAAGTCTAGCTTGCACCTCGAGTAGCACAGCTCACCTAAACAAATGTACATACTATACACGTTCGTATACTTGCGTATGGTTATCGCCACGCTGTTCCACGTAGAGTTTATCGATGCGGGAATTTTAAAGGTGTACGCGGTGTGTGTCTGTACTTGTCCAGTGTCGCATGCATACGTATATACATGTACAATTGTGCGTGGTTGTACCGTTATCACGTAGGCGACCGAAACGATGAGGTTTCGATGATCGCGCTTTTTTCGTTCAATCGGTGATTGATTATACGTGTATAAGTGATTAAACGTGTGGGCGAGAAGCAGATTACGTTAAAGGTTCCGATATTGGGCGATGATTAAAGAATCGCAAAGAATAGTTCTTATTATTACTTTCATACATTTTATCCTGACAGAATCGCGAGAAACATGGGTACATATATGTATGTGTGTGTGTATGTACAATTGTGTATTTTTTAATTAACACCAATTCGTGGGTGTCAAGGATAATATCGGAGGTCGGGCGAATAATTTCCCGGGAAATGTTGACACGGTCCGCGAGAAAGTACGAAAGGGCTGTGCATCACGTGAACACTTGTGAAATTCATTTCTATAATAGAGATATCAGCGTCTACGGAGATAGTTATTAGTATCGCTTACATTGCACAATAGACATTGTTTGATCGTGGCCTCGATGGGGCCTGGCTGCTTATCTGCTTCTTGTCGCGTTGGGATATAAAGTACACGGCAGACGGGCAGACAAATGCGTATTAGATGCACCGATGTTTCGACCGAATCCGTGGGCGAGTACCATAGACAACCGGGAATTGAACTATGGAAATTGACAAAGGTGGGCACATCCGTGATTAAAGCTGACGCTTGGCTACGGACAATACGCCATTGTGCTCCGCTTCCAGGTGTAATTTCTACTTCCTGGGAAATTAAAATCTGTCGTCGTTCGTTCCCGTAGAATGTGAATTATAGTTTTTTGTATTTTTTCCATCGATCCGATTGCTATTATACAACAAACGTCGAGTTGTAAAGGTGATGCAGTCTGATATGGGGATAAAGAACGTACGGATTGGGAGAGATGCAAAGGAAAAGTACGATCCGCGTCATAAGATTGAAAT